TCGGGATGTTCCTTTGTGGGGTGTGAGGTGACCCACGGTACACACGAATCAGCAACTGTGAACAGTTTCCTGAAGAAACTCCATTACGGTAATTGTGGCGTGGTAGCGTTGTCATGGAAGCAGGGTCTGGCTTTAGCGAGTTTCCTGGAAATAAATGGATGTGAGCCCTTTATAGTTGTGTAGCCCTCCAGAGTCCACGGAGGCTTTCTAGGTCCTTCTCTTCCCTGTTTGCTGTAAACCACAAATCAGGAAGGGCAAATGGGAGGATCCAGGCCACACGGTTAACAGTGACAGACAGTGTGTTCACGACGTGAATGTGCCCTTGTTTAGGAAGACACTGGTCCCCCCGTCCCATCCACACGAGCACCCTCCATCAGTGAGAACCAAACCAGTAACAAGCCTGTACTCAAGGCCTGCTCTGCAGAAGGGCGTAAGATTGTCCTTGGCTCTAACTCCTCAGCTCTGAGGCAGGGTTCCGTGAGTGGCTGGAGAGAAGTTTGCAGCAGAAGGTTCTGACGGCTTCGTGTCATCCTCTTGGTGACTGTGGGTAACCTGTGAGGTAAATAGTGCACTGGCTGGAGCAGGCACGATGTCTGCCGAACTTGATGGCTTGGCCTGGGCAGGAGGTCAGGCTAATGGGAGACTGCGAGCTGCAGCAGCGGCATAGAGGGCAGCAGCAGCTGCAGGAAGCAGGAGCTGGTGGGGTAGGAGATGCCATGTTCTACTCACCTCCTCTTCATCCCACTGGTGAGGGAGACAGTCCCACCCTAAGGTTCTGGGGATGGCCGAACGCTCGATGCCTGACGCTGGACCTATGAGAAAGACATCATAGATGTCACAGCCCAGGGGAGGAGGACACCAAGCACTGTGCAGGCCCACTGGGTCAGGCTCACGGGGGCCAGAACTGTTGCTGCAGCAGCTGCAGGAGGCGGGGGCAGGGAGGGTAGGAACAACGGAAGTAACGAAGGATTCAAACTGCTCTGTGGGTATCTCGACCTGCCTCTAAGAAGCTGCTGCGAGCTGCTTTTTAACTGATTTTTGTTAACCTGTCATTCAGTGCTCTTTGGCTGAAAGAGTCATCCCCTTCCCGTATTACAGAATTTGCAAGTTCAGGAAACATGTTGAACTGGCTCCAATTCATCCCGTCTTCAGACTGAGACTCTTCTTAAATGATCTTAAATGTAAGGACCTGTTTGGTTTTATTTAGCTCTCTATTTAAGGACATCTAAGAAAAACATTCACTAATCCGTTTCTCTGTCAAATCATTTTCACAATATTCTACCTTATAGCTAGTAAAAAAATCCCTCATGCTAATGACTGGGTTTTTGGGCCTTTTGTTTTTTAAATTGTGGTAAAATATACTTAACATAGAATTTACTGTTTTGACCATTTTTAAGTACACACTTCATTGTCATTAAGTACATTCACAGTGTTGTGCAACCATCACCACTATCAATTTTCAGAACTTTTTTATCATCCCAAAGAGAAACTGTGTACCCACTAAGTAATAACTCCCTACCCCTTTTTCCCCATCCCCTGGGAAGGTTTGTTCTTGATTCACGTGAGTTAGTCTTGTCTTTGAAACTGGATTTTTATATGTCTTGAGAGCAGGCAGGTAACACGACTCAAATGTCTTTGTACCTTTGACCCTGCCCAGCTCAGGGGTGAGCACAGACTGAGTGCTCGCCACAGCTGTTCAGTGGTGGACTGGATGCTGGGGGAAGGACCAAGTAGCCTCTTTAGAGATTTTGAGCCTAAGAATTTTGGGGCTGTGGGACCACCCTGATCAGGGCAAGAACTTCTTAAGGAAAATCCAAAGTCCTGGAGTGTTGGAGGCAAATCACAGTGCCGACAGAGCCATGATGTTAACATTAATATGCGAATTGGTGGACACAGGAGCGGTGGGTACTGAGGTTGAACAGAAGAAAACTTGCCCTGCCTGAAGGTGTTCAAATTCAGATTTTCATAAAACGCTCAGCCAAACATTGCAACCACGGTGCATTCAACTGAAGAGCCACAAGTTTGTGGTCCTTATTCAAAAGCCTCACCAATAACCCATCTCCATGGGTGGACAGGATGCTCTAAGATCTGTAGAGGCTGTTCTGGAAAATCCAGCTTCAGAAGTGAGCCTCACCATGGGCCTCCATAGAAGGCACTGTTTACGGTTTATTCTCACCTGTCTCGAGCTTGACCACAGGCTGAAAGGAGTCCTTATTTAACTCTCAGGAAGCTATTTAAGAGGACAGCAGCTGTGTCCCTTCCTTCCCACATCGGACGTGGTCCTCTTCCTGAACCTCTCGATACTGCCCACCTTACTACCTGTGACGTCAGAACCCCCACTTCCTAAGACTTCACAAGACAACGTGTGCCCCATCCTCTTGTGTGCGTCTTAGTTACCTTCCCAGCACAGGTGATGTAGGTCATGGAGTTCCTCTGGCCTAGCCACTCTCTCTCTTATGGGGCATGCAGCGTTCATAAAGACTCAGTTATCTGGGGTAGATGCCAGACTATGGTCTTAAGGAGACAGCTGAGCCATCAGGGTAAAGGGACTAGAGAGACATGAAAGAGTGTATGCTGCCTGTGACCTTGGCACCTTTAGGCCCAGGCTCTGCAACCCATACAACCAGTCACCCTCATCTTAACACCGAGTCACATGAGCTTCCCTGGACAGATAAAGATCGGTGATGCTGTGCGTGCCCTGGGAAACAGGAGGGCTTTGTGTTCAGTCTGGTACTCTGGTTCCATCCTCTGTGAGGCAGGGATGACAAGGTCTACAATATGGAGGCATTAGGTTCCAAGACCCTGAAAGCCTAGGGAGAGGATGGCTAGTGAGGCTTAGATTATGCTGAGCCCCACCTTTGTTCTGTGGGATGCTGGACGTCCCTTCTACACTTACGGCTCCATCATCATTATTGCATTAATTATGTGGCAGGTGAAAAAGAGACACTGAGAATTAAGGTTGGGACCTACCAGGAGCTGTTGCTGGGTAGGGAAACACTGTGACCATGACTGAACTGATTAAGCCTCAGACAAGATTTATCCCCTCACTTTCTCTTGTTACCCTCACCCCCTGCTTTTTTACGGGGGTTTCCTCACTGGATCGCAGAACAGCTCCAAATATGGCTCCTCCTTCTGGCTGGTAGACATTGAGGGCTGTGAGTGGCTAATGTTCTTCGTCTACTAGACCACCCATCCGTTCATCTGTTCCCCTTTTGCTCCTATCTGATTCTGATCTCCCTGCAGAACTTGTTCAGGGAGTGGGGGTGGAGGTATGGGGAACCTCGAAATGAATCAGAAATAAGAAGAGAAAGGAAATGAAGAGGTGGAAAATGTAGAGTAGGGAAAAGAAAGGTGGGAGAATGTATAAAATTGGAACACAGAAAAACTTTGGGAAATATTTGAGGGTTGTGTCTCATTTTAGACATGAAAAGAAAAGGGTGTCCCAGCTTCACGCACTAACTTTTTTGTCTTCAAGTGTCACCGGAGACTCAAACAAAGGGGCCAAGAAAGAGTGTCACGAGGTAAAGTCTGGTCTCTGCCCTGCCTCCCCTGCCTGTGGGCGAGGGTCCCTTGGATCCCGTCCCTCTATGACCCCTGGTGCCGGGAGCCTGGCACTCTCACCACTGAAGGCTCCAACTCCCCAAGGTGACAAATTCTCCCGGAAGACTTTCTTGGGTGGGAGATCAGAGGCTGGGAATGTTCCCAAATTCCCCACCTTACCCCGCCCCCCACCCCCCCCCCCGCCGGGAGTGAGAAATTAGGAAGTAGGGCAGAAATCCTTAACTGTGGTCATTTACTCATTTTATCACCCTGCGGAAGTCACTTCATCCCTCAGCCTTGTCATCCATGAAATGAGTGTCTGAGGCTCCTGCCTCACTCACAGTGTGGTTGTGAAGATCGGAGGAGATTAGGGCCAGGACAGTGCATCGTAACTGGTGAAGTCGTCTGCAGTCGTGCCTTAGAGCACTGACTGTTGGCGTTTCCAGTCTCCTCTCATTCAAAGGCTGTCAGCTTCCTCTAGGACATCCCTAAATTCTCTCCGATTCCATGTAACACTGTCTCCTGGTTTCTCAGCTGGGAGACTTTCCAGGGAAGAAGCTGAGAGGCCGATGGAGCTGCTCTGTCTCTTGAAAAGGTAATCTCTTGCTCTCTGCCATTCCCCAGCTCCCAGCCTGGCCTGTGATGATTTCTCTGCTTGGTCAGGGGCAGGGATGAGGAAAAGGATCATGGCTGGGAGGGAGCCAGACACAGCAGAGGCTGCAGCGAGAGGGTCCCGGAGCAGAGGGGGTCAGACGTCTCAGGAGGGAGGAGTCTCCAGTTCCGTCCTGGGCTGGGCTCACAGTGGTCCTGGAATTCAGGATTTCACTAGTGCGTAATTCATAAAAGACCCTACGTGGGTTTGCGCTCAGCCACAAGACAAGTTATCCGGTCAAGAGAATGATAAATAAGTGCATGAATACGTCATCATTGTCATGTTCTCTTTACAGCTACACCCTTTCAAGAGCAGACCCCTTGGAATCTGGCTGGACTCTACTGACATTACCTCTTCCAGTGCCGGCTTCAGGGGCGCCAGTTCCTGGGACAGCCCTCAGACAGGAGCCTGTCATCTTACCCTCTTCTTAAGATCTCTAGACAATGAGATTGGCTCCCAGGAGATGCTGAGGACAGCAGGAGAGACGCCTCATAGTCCCTGGACTGCAGAGTTCCCAAAAGGACGTCATTTCCCACAGTTTGAAGATAGTGAACACCAGGCTGTGGCCTCCTTAGCCCCAAATGAGACTGACTCCAGGTTCGACCTGGTAATGCCCCATCAGCTGGCCATCGGCACACCCCCCCCCCCCATCTGCCTTGTTCCCTTCTCCTGGTTCAGCTTCTCAACACAGGTCAGCAGTGAACTCACCCCACCCCCTAGTCTCTCATGGCCCTGTGCGCCCATGGATTGTCTGAAATCCTGCCCCATGAGCACCAGAATCTCTGCCCAGCCCACCATGACTTGCCAAATGGCACTGTCCTAGGAAGAAAAGTAGGTGGGTAAACCCCAGGGGGTGCAGACCCCAGGGCTTACAGGATCGGGGGAGGGCAGGGCCAGTCTCCAGGGCACACTCTTCCAAAGAGGCTGATGTCACTCCATCAGTAACAAATGGTTGCCGTGTTTCCCTTCCCAGCCGGGGCTGGCTTCCTGAGGAGGGAAGTGTGCGGCGGCTGCTGTGTGCAGACCCCTCATGCCCCATCTGCAATGCTGTGGCTCTGGAGATCCAGCAGTTGCTGGTGGGTGAGAACCCTGATCTGCCCCCCACGTCACCGGGGCCATCGCAGGGCTCCTCTTGCCCAGAGATTTTGTCCACGTCTCATCTCTCTTTTGAGCAGAGTCAGGGTTTGCCACATTGGGACCTGGGGCAGGGATCTCAAGTGCCAGATGTATCATGGGACATGGGAGCTCCGTCTTCTTCAAGCCTTGAGAAGCCTGGGACTCCTGTGAAGCAGCAGGGCAAGAGGAAGAGCAACTCCGAATGTGTGCTGGAGAAACCAGGTCAGCAGCCCTTGAATACCTGAGTCCCTTTCTTTCCCTGAACCCAGAGCTCAAGACCCTCAAAGCCCCCATGGCCTTGCACTCCCTTCACCTGCTGTTCCTATGTCCCCAACGCCCTGAGGTATCTTTAAGGGCAGGTATACAAATGCATGCATTTCTACACTGGAGGGCTCCCAAGATCTATGGAAGAGCTCCCATGGCAGCTTATGTCACATGGCCCAAGCATTTTCCACGCCTGAGGGGAAAACCATCGTTTCTTTCATCATGAATGGCACCTCTTAGGCCTCTGTTGAAAGATGGGCTTTTGTCTCCCTGACCTGGGGCTCATGGGAAGTCAGCCAGTCCACTCAAACTCTCTGGGTTTCTGAAGGATCCACTCTGGACCCAGAGCAAGTCCCACTGCAAGCAAGGCCCAAACTGAATGGCTCTGGCTCTACGGTCAACCACCTTTCAGTCTCTAAGTGGCCTCTGTCCATTGCCTGGGGGACCCGCTGGGCCTCGGTGTGCCATCTGCAGGAGAAACACAGCTACCTTTCTATGGTTCCTCTTTCCTGCACAGTGAATCCCTGGCCCGCCCCTGGAGATCTCTGCACCAAGGGGAGCCCCAGTCCCTTTCCTTCAATGATTTCTTCTTCATTCCATACTCTCTAAAATTTCCTCCACCTCAGTTAGCCCACCTTCTTCCCACATTCCTGAATTTGAGCTTCTCCAGCTGACTCTCAACAAGCCCTATCAATGTCCCATTTCCTGCTCTGACCAAGGGTGAAGCGTTGGAGTGGCACCAGCTGCAAAGGCAGCTCCAGCTTCGATGGGGCTTGCCAGCTGGTGACCCGAGATCTCTGTAGATGCAGAGAACCAGGAGACATGTTGCGACCTGTCCCTTGGGACTCAGGGGCCCATCTGTTTGGGGAAGCCAATTTCAGTCCTCGAGAAGAAGGTCGTGTCTCTCTGGAGCATGCCCCAAGCTGCTGGGTTCCACCCTCAGAAGGGATTGATTAGCAGGCTGATTCACCATGCTGGGGCGGCCCCAGAAGATCCAGCAGGCCATCCAGTTCCTCCTATCCCCTGCTGAGCTTCAGCGTCTGCCCCAGGGCAGCACACTGACCAGTGTGAGTGTCCCCTGGCCTGCAGGCCTAGAGACCAGTGAGAGAGTGGTGAGTTCTGATCCACCGTGGCAGCAGGGCCAGTCCATAGTTGCTCTCCTAGGCCACGCAGAGCCACACCGACTACAAATTTGAGAAGATCTACTAGGGCATTGTCCCTGCCCACATCTGCAGCTGTTGAGATGCAAATCACTGGGTCTGCAGCATTCTGGGGGCCCTGGCAGCAACTTGGGTTCCTTGCACCCTGGAAAGTAAGCCCCTAGATGTGGAGGAAGCAATTACCCCTCCATGGATCAGGAATTGACACCCTGAACACTGACAGGCCTTGAGCGGCAGCAGCAAGCCTCACCAGATGCTGTCACTGCTCGCCCTGATCAGCACCTGCCTGAGAGTTGCTGAGAAACTGGAGACAAGTTTTGGCCTTCCTGTCAGGGCTGCTGGCTCTTTACTATGTGGCTCTTTCCAAGGCCATGGACCAGATCCGCATCACGGAGATGGGCCTGGGCCTGTTGGGGCCCATCACAGCCTCTGGCTCAATCTCATCTAAATAGCAATGTCTACATCCTGGGCCAGGCTTTCAAGATGCCAATGAGACTTGTGCAGACGGTGCACAAGTGGTGCAGACTGAAGCACAGGTCAGTGGAGGTGGTGTCTCTAGAGAGTCAGACAGATCCTGCTAGCCCCTGTGCACTCAAGACATCCATCTTGGCCAAATTAAATTTTTTGCTGAAAAAGAAATTGCTGGGGATACATTTAGGATGTCTCATAAAGATAGAGTCCTGGGAACAAAGTGTGGCTGTCCCAGGGAATATCTGTGCCTAGGAGTCTAAGCAACCAAGGAAAAACATTGCTGTAGGAACTCCCCATCCCACCAGGCATCCCATGTGCCCCAGAACGGTCCACCTTAAAGAGGAGCTTGCAGTTAAACTAAGGCAGTGCAGCAGAACCAAAAGAGAGCTAGTTCCAGAGCATCCTCTTGGTTCTGCCCCCTGGGCCTTCAGGGGCTCACAACCCAGTGGGGACAGAACAGAGGCCCAGGTGCTTTGTGTACAGCTGGAGACCAGTGAGAGCAACCCCATCCTGGAGGAGCCCTAGACCCCTGAGCCCCAGGCCTCTGAAAGGGTGAGGACAAACCCTACCCCAGCAGAGAAAACAGAGGACCCAGGGAAACTCAGAGCAGCAGAGAATCACAGAGAAGGAGACGCCGTGCTGAGGCTCTCCTCAAGCAGAGAGCATCTCCTCTCCAAGGTTCGGGGGCCAGGAGGGACACTTCTAAGGAGAACCTCCAGAGCCCCTGACTTCCCAAATGTATCTCCAGGATCTTTCGCTGGTAGAATTTTAGTTTGGCCAAGATGGTTGCCTGGAGTGAGCAGGGACTAACAAGGATCTGTCTGGATCTATAGAGCCACCATCTCTATCCTTTCAGCTTACTGCTCCCTGTCAGCACCTTTACCAGCTTCTCCCTCACCTTGAGCTCCTAGAGCATCCTCCAGGATTCCTTGGGACAAAAGGACCAGATAAGAATGGTGTGCAAGGCTGTTAGAGCAAGCTGATTGACCTCACCCAAACAAGGATTCCTGAGAATGCCAAATCTGGAGTGCCCAGAGCTTAAAGGGCCAGACCTTACAGGACCAAATTACTGCATCATTTGCTGGGCCAGACTTTGCAAGTCCAGCATTTGAAGGGGCCACATTTTTCAGATCCAAACTTTTTAGGTCCAAAATTTGTAGGGCCACACTTTCTAGGGCCAAGAGCTGCAGGGTCTGGTAAAGGCAGCTCATACTCACAAGTGCCCCACCCTTCCAGAAGCTGCAGAAGCTGGCTTGGGAAATAAGATGAAGTACTTTCCATACTGGATTAACCCCAAGATGAAAAGTCAAGGCCCTAAGGAACCCGTTCTCCTCTCTAAGGATGAGATGGTGGCCAAAACCACAACAAAAAGTGTTGTGAAGAGTGCACTTTCCACCAAAGACCCAGTGAGGGGAGCTAAGCTGGAGAAGACAGCAGAGGAGGAGGGCATGACCTTCTTCGATGCCCCCACTTCTGTCAATCTATCCACTCCTGGTTCCTGTGCCTTTCACAACAGCTCCAAACATGTCCTCACCTGACTTGTGCCACTCAACCAGAAAATCCATCCCAGGTCTCAACTTTCACCTCAGCAGAAGGCACTGGTCTATACAAGGAGAATACCCATTCCAGGGAAAAGCAGTTCAGAGCTTCCCAAACCTCTGCAACCCCCTGAAAAAGACTGTCATCATTATTTCCATTAACGTGCAGGTGATGCAGGACCCTGTCCAAATATACTTTATACCCCTGAGCAAAGAACCACCTATTTGTGCCTCCTTATTTTCAATGTGATACGTGATGGAGAGGGTGGAGGAGGGAGGCAGTACTTCTCATGTAGTATAGGAGGTTAACCCCACGTTTCAGATGGGCCAGATTCCACACAACTCTTTCAGCCCCACCCTGGACTGTGGATCAAGGGGCTTGAGAAGGAAGACCCTTGTCTAAGGCGCATTGAGGGTAAAGGTCAGGCTTGAAATCTTTCATGGCTTCTCATGAAAAGGAAGCTACAGAGGAGCAATGTGGGCATGATGATAGTACAGAGGGAGTGGCCAGGAACCCAGTGCATTCCTGGCCCACAGGCACAATTCATCAATAACTTCTCTATGTGCCCACAGTCTGGAGGGAAGGTTTTAGAGGAGTGTCACGGGGCTCCATCCTTGAGATGCTTTGTGTTTATCTAAAGCACACGGAGCATATGACAGACGTCAGAAGCAAAGGAGAGCATCTCCCCTCTCTGTGCCCTGTTGTTACTGATTAGCTCTTTAAGGAATAACCCATCTGGGAGCCTGCTAGAGCCCTGCCACCTATTCGACCCCCATTGCCTTTCAGCTGTATAGAATAAATGCCTCCTACAGTGAAGCTCAGTTGATGAGAAGGTCTCCAAAAGGGTCACAATAAAAATGACTTTGAGCTGAGTCTTGCATTCAACAATTCGAATACTCAAGTACTTGCTGTCTTCCCAAAACTATGCAGACCCTAGGGACAGCATGGTGAACAATACAGGCTTCCCTCCCATGGAGCTTGTGGAACCACGGAGCCAACAGTCAAATAAAAAAAACACTGAAAGCAATGTGAAAGAGCTGGTTAGAGAAAGTAGATGAAATACAAAGGAAGGCACGTCACCTAATTTGGGGCGGTGTTCATGGCAATTTTCCTGGAAGAGTTGATATGTAGACTGAGTTTGAAATGTTTGAGGGAGCAGAATGGGGCTGCCACGCTGGAGAATGGATGGCATTCACTCATCCATTTTTTCATTCTTCAGCTAATATTGAACACCTACTACATGCCAGGCACTGATGTAGACACTGGGAAGACAGCAGTGAACAAAAGCGGAAAAAATCTGTCCCCAAGGAGCTTAGGTTGATGGTGCACTAGGAAGGGAGATAAAAAAGCATAGTAAAAATACAGTCTGTAGAAGGTGACAAATTTTTGCAAGAAACCAGGGTAAGAGGTTTGGGGAAGACTTAGGTGGGGTGCAGTTTTAAACAGGGAGTTCAGGTCAGGTCTGACTAAGAAATTAATGCATGAGCATGGACTAGAGGGAGGTGAGAATGGGTAAACCACACGGATGACTGAGGAAGAGTGTGCCAGTCAGAAATTATAGCTAATGCAGATGTCTGGAGGCTGGAGCATGCCTCGCCTATTCCAGGGAACAAGGACAGTGAGCTTAATGCCAAGTAATCCGGGGAGAATGTCACAGAGGATGAGGTCAGAGCAGTAAAGGGGCCAGATGGGGTGAGGCCCAGAAGGTCATTGCAAGATGTTGACTCTTCCTTTGAGTAAACTAGGAGCTGTTTGAGGGTCTGCTTAGATCTGAATTCTGTTTCAAAAGGATCACTTAGGAAGTGGCCTGGTTGCATAGTGGTTAAGTTCACATGCTCTGCTTCAGTGGCCTGGGGTTGGGAGGTTCAGATCCTGGGCGCAGACCTATATACTGCTCATCAAGCCATGCTGTGGCAGCATCTCGCATACAAAATGGAGGAAGATTGCCATAGATGTTAGCTCAGTGACAATCTTCCTCAAGCAAAAAGAGGAAGATTCGCAACAGATGTTAGCTCAGGGCCAGTCTTCCTCACCAAAAATAAATAAATAAATAAATAAAAGGATCACTTAGGCTGTGGTGCTAATAATGGAGTGTTGTGTGTATAGACTTGGGTAGAAGCAGGGATATTGGTTATGAGGTTACTCCAGCAATGGTAGCAGCAGAGAAGATAGAAGTATTTAGATGCTGGAATCATTTTGAAGGTAGAGACAACAGGACTTATTGACAGATTGGATGTGGATAGTTGGAGAAAAAAAAGTCAAGGATGACACCAGTGTTTTTGGCCTAAACAACGGGGAAGATGGAGTTGTCATGAACTGCTATGAGAAATACTATGACTCGAATAGGGTGGTATATGTGACTGGGTGGGGGTGGTGGGGGGTAATCAGGAGATCACTTCTGTACAGTTAGAGATGGATATTGGACATACAAGTGTATATGTTGATTAGATGATTTGGGCATATGACCCTGGAGTTAGGAAAGTCCAGGCTTTAGGGAGGCAAACAGACAGTTAGATAAATAGATATACATAGATGATAGATAGGTAGATAGATGATAGATAGATAGATAGATAGATAGATAGATAGATAGATGAATATATTTAAAACCATGAGACTTGGCTATGGAGGCGGATAAATTGTTACAAGAGTGTGATGAGTCCTATGCTGTGTGGGTCCTGCTGCAGGAAGAAGTACTCAGTTGATGAGAAGGGTCAGATAAAGGGTCACAATAAAAATAACCTTGAGAGGCATCTTGCACTCAACAATTAATATATCTGAGTACTTACTGTGTTCCAGGAACAATGCTAGACACAACAGTCACCAAGACTTGTCTCCATGGAGACCATGATCTCATGGGGTAGACAGCCTCACATGCCCAAACTACCTAGTCAAAATATACACTCGGATGTCCAATATTCATCTCAAAAGTAAACTCCTGATTCCCTGCTCTGCCCGCCTCCCCGCCCCCAATCACAGATACTAAACCTGCTCCAATTGCAGTATTTCCCATATCAGTTAATGGCACCTCTCTCGCCAGTTTTTCAGACCAAAAACATTGGTGTCATCCTTGACTTTTGTTTCTAACAGTTCACTCCAATCCATCAGTAAATCCTGTTGTCTCTACCTTCAAAATGAATCCAGAATACTACCACTTCCCACCTCCTCTGCTGCTCTGATTATGGCAATAGTATCATAACCAATCTTTCCACTTCTTCTTAAGACCATACCTCCAACATTCTACTCTCAACACAGAAGCTTGATGGTGGTCAGGGAAGGTCTTAGCTGTACATGATAGATAGATGGATAAATAGACAGGCAGACAAATAGATAGACAGATGATAGATGTATATAAAACCATGAGACTGGTAAGATCATCAAGGGAATAAGTGTAAATGGAGAGATCTAAGGACTGGGCTCTGGGACTCTTCAACATTAAGAAACTGGCAAGCAAAGGAGGAACCCATAAGCAAAGGAGACTGAGAAGCAGTAGCCAGTGAGGTAGGAGGAAAACTGGAAGGGTGTGGTATACTGGAAGTCAAGAGAGGAATGTATTGCAAGGAGAAAGTGAGCAATTGCATGAAAAGTTGTGAATTGATCAAGTAAGATGAGGACTCGGAGTTGACCAGAGATTGAGCAACATAGAGATCACTTATGGCCTTGAGAAGAAGAGACTCAGGTGAATGATGGAGGTAGAGACGTGACTGGAGTGGATTCAAGAGAGAGTGGCAGGAGAGTAATTGGTGAGAGCAAGTATAACCAATTCCTTCAAGGAGTTTTGGTCCACAGAGGTGCAGAAAAATGAGGAAATATCTGGAGGGGGAGGTGGGACTCAGAGGGTTTTTATAAAATAGATGGGAGACATTGCCTGTTGGATGTCAATTGAAAAGATCCAGTTGAGAGGGATAATGATAATGTAGGAGGGCACAGGAGAACTGCTGGAGCAATGTTGTGGTATAGGGGTCAGGGAGTGGGAATGAATGCCCAAGTCAAGTGGTTGGCCTTGGCAAAAGCACAGTCACTTTGCTGGTGGTAAATAGAAGGAAACATTAATGAGGTAAGACTTTGTGTATCAGGAGAAGAAAGGTTTCTCTCACATGTGAGAGAGTGTGGGCAAAGACCCAGATGGGTGATTGAGGAGCTGAGAAGGGACCATGCCAGGGCTAGGAGAGGGGTGTGGAGTACGAAAGCCGGAAAGCCAGAGGAAGAGAGAGACTCTGGAAGTTACCATGGCAAGTTTCTATTAGGGCCTAAGGAGTCAGTGGCCAACTGACATAAAAAGGTGGTTGAATGTGTTCTTGGAACACTGGAGCAGTGGGAGAGATCACAGAGAAAGCTGTAGATGCACAAAGCATGAGGAAGAGGATGGAGCCAGCAATGCAGAAAGAGGGCAGGTGTGGCATCCTAGTGTTCAGAGACCAGGGTGTTTGGGGGTGGGAGGAGAGGACTGGGAGGCAGAAAGACAAAGAAGGCCCTGAGTGGATGGATGGACCTCTGCTATCAACACCTCATGTCTCAGAAGGTGGCACCTCTGCATTCCCACCTTTTGACCTACCACAGAGGAGCCAAGAGCTGGAGGAAGTGCAAGAAGGGACGTAGCTTCCTTATGATGTGGTATAGGGGACCGTGGGATGCCCTGCCCTGATTCCCAAGGAAATCCAGGAAGACTCAATAATCCCATCAGACCAGAAGAAGGTGGGGACAGAACTCTCTTCCTCTGATAAACCCCAATACTTATCACAAAGTGTCCACTGCCAGCAGGAAAAAGAAAAGCCATGATGGGAAGAAGCGTGAATGTGTCCCTCCTCTGGATGGTGACTCTGTGCTTAAGGGATGGGGCCCAGCCCCTCTTGTGGCCTCTAGGGAGAGGAGGCACAAGGCCCAGGCCTGCTGAGCCAACACCCTCCAGGTGTCTTCTAAAGCACCCCCAAAGATCACAGGAGGTCTTGTGACAGATACATCTTCCTGCTTGGTGGAAGTTGGGCAGGAGCCACGTAGGAGGATGTCCTGGTGAAGGAATGTGACTCAGATGGGTCACAGGAGCATGAGGCGGGAAGACAAGGTTAATGTGCAACATCCTGTCTTAGGCGGAGCAGGTCCTTCCCATGGTCCCTCACAGGCTCCTACCTGCCCCAGCAGATTTCTATCAAGGAAATTTCAGGCAACTGACCATCGCGAGTGTTTGACTTTTGTACCTGATCACTCCACCTTAGCAGGGAGGTCATAGAATATGCTGGGCACAGGAATCAAATGTGTGAGACTTCATCTTGCTCTTGCTCAATCCTGTCATGCCAGCCTCTTCCAGCGGGGGACCGGGACTCCTTGAGCATGAGGCAAAACTCCTGCCCTGTTGAATTTCCCAGACTGTTGGAGATGCTCAGCCTCAAGGGCTCAGTTATCTCTGCTCGTCCACTCCAAGTCTAGTCCCTCTCCTCTGTGGGTCTTTGGTAAGACATCCCCTGCCCCTAAATTCCCGCATCCCCTAAATCTCATCCTCCTTCCACAGCCTCATCTCTATTTCAGCTAACCTTCCCATCACCACCCTGTGCTTGCCCCTGCCTGTCCAGGCTGAATCCTTGGAAAGATGTCAATAATGTATGAGCATAGTGAAAAAACCAAGTTACAAAAATATTCATATTTTAGTCTTATTTTTTAATATTAATAGACTTTATTTTTAGGGAAGTTTTAGGTTTGCAGAAATATTGAGCAGCAAGTACATAGAGCTCCCATAAACCCCCTTCCTGCCCTTGGCCACATACACAATTTCCCCTATAATTAACATCTTGGCATTTAGTGTGGTATATTTGTTACAACTGATGAGCCAATACTGATACATTATTATTAACTAAAGTTGATAGTTACATTAGGGTTCAGTCTGTGTTATACATGCTGTCGGTTTTGACCAGTATATTATTTCCAAAACTTTTTCACCTAAACAGAAACTGTACCCCTTAAACAATAACTTCCCATTTCCCCCATCTTACTCTAACACCTTGTAAGTTCTATTCTACTTTCTGTCTTCATCAATTTCCCTATTTTAAGTACTTCATATAAGTGGAATCATACAATATTTGTCCTTTTGTGTCTGGCTAATTTTGCTTAGCATAACATGTTCAAGGTTCATCCATGTAGCATGTATCAGAATTTAGCTTCTTTTTATGGCTGAGTAATACTCCCTTGTATGTATATATCACATTTTGTTTATCCATTCATCTGTTGATGAACACTTGGGTTGTTTCCACCTTTTGGCTATGGTGAAAAATGCTGCTATGAATGTTGGTATGCAAGTATCTGTTTGAATCCCTGATTTCAGTTCTTTGGGGTATATACCTGGGAGTGAAATTTCTGGATCATATGGTGGTTCTATGTTTAACTTTTAGAGGAACTGCCATCAAATTGTTTTCCACAGGAGCTGCACCATTTTACATTCCCACCAGCAATGCACAAGGATTCCAATTTTTCCACATCCTTGCCAACACTTTTTTTTTCTTTTTTAGTAATAACCATCCTGATGGATAGGAAATGGCATCCCATTGTGGGTTTGATTTGCATTTCTCTAATGACTAATGATGTTGAGCATCTTTTCACATGCATATTGGCCATTTGTATATCCTCTTTGGAGAAATGTCTACTCAAGTCCGTTGCCCATTTTTGACTTGGGTTTTTTGTTTTTTGGTAGTTGACTACTGATTTTTTTAAAAGACACACAATCTTTGATTTATTAAAATCAATTTTTGAATTCATAATATTGCCATAAGAATTAGCTATGAGATAGGATTCCTATTATTTTTGCTGATTATGAAAGCAGCACATGCTCATTGTAAAAATTCAAACCCCTTATTATCCTATCATTTTCCACAGAAA